CTAGTAGCAGAGATTTTTATCGTTGTGGTCCGACGGTTAAGCCACAAACGAATGTCCGACGTCCCACCAACCGAGCCCATTCCCAAACCAGAGGAACCTAAAGCACCAGCCCCTGCACCTCAGTTCCAGCAAGTCCCTCCACCAAATTACTACCAATTTCCACCTCAAGGTTACTACCAATTTCCACTACAAGGCTTCCCGAACTACCCTCCTCAGCCTATGCCTTACTTCCCCAACCCTTGGATGTTCCAGCAAGCTCCACCCCAATTCCAATTCCAATCTCAATCCAAGAGAGACCAAGAGTTCGAAGAAGGTCTGAACCGTTTACGCAAAGAGTATGCCACAGCCCCTATGGAAGACGACAGGCTTTCAGTCTCTTCCCTAAGGTCGACCAATTCGACTCGTACCACAGATTCGGTTCGTGACCGTGAAGACTACCTCAAGCAGTCTGAGAGACTCTTCATCTTACAGCCATTTACAGTTGGAGCTCTCAAGAACATGCGCAATTACGAAGGTCAGACACCAGCTGGAGACCGTAAAACAGACGTACTCGCAAGAGCAGTCCAACTGGTCAAGACAAAGACTGAGATAGTCGACTTCATTCTTGCAGCTTGCCCATACAAGTAAAAAAATAAACAATTACGAGTTAAACTTTTTATTCTTTCTTTTCTGAGTTGTTTAGAGCTGGTTTCTCTTGTAGGAACCTTTCGTACTCTTCCATGGTCATGTAATTGCGAATTTTGTACGCAATTCCAGGTTCGTTGTTTTTGAACCTGATGTATGTAACGCTTCCATCCTCCTCAGGGAAGTAAGCTGCTAACATCTGACCAAGTTTTCTCGGTGACTCGGAGCTCATAAAAATGTCACTTTTTAAACGTTAAGTTTTTAGTCTTATTTTACCCTTTGTTTACCCTTTGTTTGTCAAGGTAGTATTGGAGTGCAATTTCTCCAAATTCTCTGTGTCGGAGTTTCTTCAGCATTTTCCAAGGTGTACCTGGAGAACTCAAAGAAGTTGTCAAGAACATACTGCCATGCTGCTCTTCTGAGTTCGTCGGTATTTTGGAAGTGTTGCACCTTCGAGTCTTCGACATGAAAAAATTGACACTTTTTCAGCAAAAATATATTTTATGTAGAATGTTAGATCTAACAGTTTTTCTAACATGTTTTCTAACATGGTCTAAAACTCTTGAATTTTCATGAAATTTACACCAAAAATAAAAAATAAAATTAGTTTTATTTTTTTTATTTTTTTTATTTTGTATAAAAGATATGATTTCAACAATCGGCACAACAACAGTTCAAACAACTACAGCACCAAACTCGTTAGTCATGAATCCTACGTCAATGTTGGTAGAGATGAAAAGCTTCATTCCTTTTCATATTACTTTTGAAACAAAAATCCAGAAGATAAAGCAAGAACTTTTAACAAGTAATTTAGACTGTAGTGCGAAAGATGAAACAAATGAACAGTATCTTTATGAAATGCAGGACATTATTGACCATTTACCCAAATTGCCTGAAATCCAACAACAAAAACTAACCATTCCCGAATTTGACGAAATAGAAGTCAAAGCAACTGACTCAGTAGAAATAAAGAAGTTCATACGAAAGGTTAACTATGAGTTTCTTGGATTTCATTGCAACCATAAGGTTATGGACAAAGATTGCGACATGGTATATAAGAACATCTCTGACCTTTACAAATCCGAAGAATTTAAGACCTACGACAACTTTGTTTCATTAGTTGCAAAAAGTGTTTGGGAAATAAGAGATAAAGATAGTAGGGGTAAGGTATGGAACGAACAAATAAAACCCGCTATGTTCGAGATGAAGAAAACCATTGACGCTTTAGTTGTTTTAGCAGGTAAGGTTTCAGAATATAACGCAAAAATGAATCCGCAATGTTCAAAATGTAAAGCAGCAATGAGGAAATATAACTACTCCGTCAAAGAGATAGAACGTATGCCGAAACGACTATGCAGATTTAAAGAAAGAAGCAGAAAAACCAGCAGAAGATAAAATGAACATGTTAGAATTTCTGAACAAAAACTATCCAACCGCTAACGATTTCCTTCTATCTGACGTCAAGAAGAAGTATAAAGAAACTTTCGGTATCGTTAAAACTTTTGACATACTGACAGAAGAAATAGAAGCTACGAAATTGTTTAGAGTCATGAACCATCGCAACATATACCATGTAAAACGCTTGTAAATAGTTATGTTAGAAAACGTGTTAGAAAACATGTTAGATCTAACATTCTAACATAAACATTATTTTTGCTGAATTCCGTATGAAATTTCATGAGTTTCCTCATATGCTTGCTTCCCTCGGAAAACCGAGAGAAGAACAGCGAGCCCGACTTTTATCTAGGTCGCCTAAAACTCATGAAAATCGTGAAAAATAACAGAGTATTTTGACAACTTCAAACAAGCAGAGTAAATGAACCATTTATTTTTCAAGCTTGACTTTTTACAATTTGAACTTTGTTCGCGTAGATATGAATTCTGAAAGAAGTATGAGGGTCTTGTATGACTTTGTACTTCTCCCATAGTTCATGTCTGTCAAACTTACCTGCCATGGACTCTTTCATAAGTTCCATGAAATCGTCTTCGGACAATCCAGGGAAAAGTATGATATCAGTAAGTATTCTCTTTACATCCTTACTTAAACTCTTTGCTGTCTGTACACAAATGACAACTGAGATGTTAAAGTGTCTGAGCTTCTTAAGAATTCGACACATGTCTTGTTCTCTATTCTTTAACAAAGGATGAGAGCAAAGTCATCTAAGATAAGAAGACATCTATGAGGGTAAGTCTTCCAATCGTAAGATTGCAATTTCTTCGAAATGTATTCTATCTCTTTCTGTTTGTTTCTGAAGTGTTTCTTCTCTAATATTCTCTGCATTTCCTCATTTGGGTCTTTAAACTTCGAATTTATATACTCATTTATAGCATTATACTTCAAAACTCTTCTTTGGTACTTCTTTATCCAATCTAACAACTCAGAGTCTTTTATACATACTAACTTAGACTTTTTTATAATATCTTTGAACGAATTTACGGTTTGGTCAAATTGACCAGAAGTCGAACAAATGACTACTAACTCATAGAATGGGTTCTTCTCATCTAGTTCTTGTTGTTGTGCAGCCATTTTAAGATAAGTGAAAGTCTTACCCGACCCAGGTGGTGCAATTAGACCTGTTATACCATTCTGAGCAAATAGAACTTGTCATGTATGGGTTTTATCTGAGCATTTTCTAACTTCCTCTTGTTCTTGTTTAAAACATTCTCAAATTTCTTGTCAATGTCAGCAAACTTTTTTTCTAACATATTTTTAGAAAAATTAAAAATTTTTATCTTTTTGAAAATGTCTAGCGATTTCGCTATCTATATTCGAGACAAGCTTTTTGACAGCAAAACATCTGTAGACCATAAAATCTTACATAGTGTAAACAAGAAAGGTGAATTTGTTCTAAAGTTCTGTTTCTGGGAATATGACAAGAACCATAAAACATTAAGCAGAGCAGTCTTAAAATTTGTCAATGACAGACTTGTTGACAGAGATGACGCCGATTGGAAAGATGAAGTCCAACAAAAGTTCTTAGAATGCAAAGAAGACACATGCGCTGTTCTTGAAGATGAAATAGAAAACAGAATAGAAGAGCTATTAAAGGACAAAGACCTTTTACAAAAATATGGTTCTGAGAAGTTTGACATAACTCCACCAGAGAAGAAGAAGAGAGAAAAGAAAGAAAAGAAAGTAGAAGAAGAGAAGAAAGAACCTGAACCAGAGAAAAAGAAATTTGACATGTAAAAATAAAATTTTATTTTTAGAACATTTCTGGGTCAATGTCAATGTTCTCTTCCTCTTTAGGAGCAAACACTGGCTTAGACTCTAAAATCTTTTTACCCAATTTACCTTGAACTTCAACTATCTTAGACTCATAATATTCATAGTCGTCTGCTTTCTTTGGTTCATAAGGTATAACAAGTTTGTATGCTTTGCCTTCTTTAAGGTTTGAAAACCTTCTGTCAAAATTTTCTTTGACTGCTAACAAACCTTCTATGTCTAAGTCTTCAAATTTCGCACCATTTTTAGTCACAATAGCAAACTTAACTGGTTCGATGTTCCAAACTTTGTCAAATGTAGACTTTTCAAAATGGTAGAAGTAAACATTCAAATATATGAATGGGTCTAGTTCTTCTTTGACTTCTGTCATGTACTTGTTGACTGAGATGAATTTTGCCATCTTTTCTATCGGATAAAAAAATATTTTTTTAAAATTTACTCAGAAAAATTTTTCTTTGTATATACGCCGTTCTGTATGTCTAAAAGATTTTTGACATTTGCCAAGAATGTTCGTTTAGACGCTGTCATATAACCATACTCTTGGCAATATTGTTTATATTCATCGTACAATGACCTTTCATCTAAACACTCAAAGTCAGTTTCATCTATAAACAGTTCATATACACTCTTGTTTGCTTCTAACAATGTTTGTCTTTCTTCGGTATATGGAATTTGTCTTGGATTGAACTTTGAAATATCTAATGTCATGAAATATGAGAACAAGTGGTTGTAAAAGTCAGATGTTAAAGTTTCTGCTAAGTCGTCAAAATATTCTGTATCTTGCATATGAGCTTCTGACGTTCTGACAACTACATATCTTCTGTCAGAACTTTCTAACTTCATCGGAACGGCGTTGTTTGAAACCATAATGAAATTTGCAACATTTTCACAAACTCTTTGGTCTTTATATTTTCTTTCAACAACTCCAACTTTGTCTGTTATAAGACTCTTCAAAGCATCTGAGTTTAAAACCTTTGTTGTATCTATACTTTGAAGTTCGTTACATACTATAAGTTTCATATTCTCTATTGAGGAGTTAAATTTACCGCAGATGTTTTCTAAGTTTGTCATATTCGGGTTCGAATAGCCTCTAACAGTTTGCATAAGATATCTGTAAAGAAAGTGTTCTTACCTGTTCCTTGTTTTCCAATTATGATGAGAGCAGTTTCATTTTTAGCACTTGGATATTGTAAGATGTTTGCAAACCAACATAAGATATACTCATAGACTCTTTCGTTTCATTGCATATAATTTCTTTGACATGGTCTAACCAAGCTTCTATAACATTTTCTTTCCATTCTACTTGTTCGTATTTATATCCAGTGAAGATAGAATAGAAGTTTGGAGATGGTGTATAGAACTTTATACCACGAACTGAAAAATCTTCTAACTTTGACAATAAGATATCCCAAGCATCTAACATCTTCATACCAACTTGTACAACTTTTATTTTCTTAAGTTTCTGTTTACATTCTTGTTCTGAAACTATGGTTGCTCTTGGTTTGTTAAAGACAACATCCCATTCTTTCATGACATAACATTCTGGGGCAGAGTCAACATAAATGACTAAACGTTTCAAATTCTCGACTGCTTTGTTATAGTCTCTAAATGGACACATATTTCTGAAGGCTTGGAAGTCATAAAAATCTGAAACATCTATTCTGTACATTTTTATAAAAATAAAAAAAATATTTTTTTTATTCTTGAGCTATTTGTTGCATTTGTTGTTCTTGAGCTATTTGTTGTTGAAGTTGTTCTTGTAGTACAATACTTTCACCAGTTGCATCTTCCAATTCGAAACTTTCTGCCGTCATTGACAAATACATAGGACATAAAAGTTTTACAGGAACAAAGTTTGCGTCGACTAATGTCAACGTTATGTTTGCCAAAGTGTTTGAGTTCACTAAGGTTGAAAACTCTGCATTCGAATGAACAATAGGCAAACCAGCAGAGAAAGTGTTGTTTATACGCATGAGTATCTTTTGGTCATAGTAGTTTCTGTCGACATTCGAATAGCACTTTGAACCTAAGTTTGAAACAATATATAAAATAGGTGTACTTAAAGTCAATGGAACGGATAGACCTTGTATGACACCTTTTCCTGTTATAGGAAACTGTTGGTAGTAAAAACCAGATATAAGTTTTGTATTATAGCTCATATCGTTTATAGTAAACTCAGTCGGACATCCAAACATAATGAAACCTGCTCTAGTTGCAGCACATGTTACATCCGTCCTTAAAGTATTAAATAAGTCAACAAAACCTGTTGGTGGTATATCTGAGTAAGTATCTTCAAAGAAGTATTTTTTACCATTCACAACAACAAAGTCTTCTGGTGTCAAAAGAGCAAAACAGGCTTTAGTCGTCATCGTGTTTAAGGTCAGTTTACAATATCGTCCTTGAGGACTTTGTAAGTTTGTTGTTATAGAATTATATGACTCAGGGTTTTTAGTCGTAATAGTATAAACCACTATGTCTTCTGCCATTTACTTAGCAAGTAAATTTTAATGAAATGTTGTGGTCGTCAAATATTTTTATGACGTCTGGGAAACTATATTTTAAGTTCAACGTTTCACCTCCTTTCATAACGTATATCTTGTCAATGACATTATATGAAACACCACAGCAAGCAATGTCGGTTCTATTTCTTTGATGTTTATATCGTCTGCCTCTGTCAAAAGTTTCAATAGTTCTTTCAAAACTTCATGAGGTGCGATGACATATGAGTTCACTTTTACAGGGTTGTGTCACCAAGTTTAACATTATACCTAAAGCTTGACAAATCTTCTCCTGAGTTTTAAGTTTGTCTTTAAGTTGTTGGTAGTCGTTTCGAATATCTGCAACAGAACTTAAGTCTCTGCTAACTTCAGGGTATGTTGGTTCTTTTTACAGGAACAATTGTTATACCATCTTCGTCTTCGTATGGTTTCCCCACTTCAACATCTCTTTCTTTGACATTGACAACAACACTTTGACTGTTTGTTTGAGTTGGTGAATTTAACTTCACATCTGCCACGCCATTAAACCTTTTGAAACACTTACGCTTCTATTTTTCGGAAATGACATTTTACTTAGAATAAAAAGATGGACGTATTTGAGTATCTCTTCGAATTGAAGCAAACAAAGTTTACACACACAAACAATACAAATACATTGACAGAATAGTTCTTTACACAAACAATGGAAAATGTTATAGAATAGCAGTATTTGCTGAACCAAAATATTTTCATAAAGCAAAGAAAGTTGGTATAACTGAAATGGTGAAAGTTCTTGACGTTGACAAAAATATAACAACAAAACTGACCGATATTTCTAAAGGTAAGTTTTTAATACAATATATCAAAACTGGCGTACTGTCAATATTTGACGGAGAGAAGTCAGTTCAAGAACAACTTACTGACCTGCTGCCAAAATCTGCTCGATGGAAGCTGTCGTTATACCAATCTGAGGAGCCCCAGCAGGTTTCATCGAACGAATCTTCAAAAGAGCATCTTCCGTGAAAAGTGCTATTGGTTTTGTAAACTTCTTTGCTTCAATTCATCTGGACCGTCTCTGTCACCAGTATATTGTATTTGAACTGTACCAACAGTTGAAATACCACCCATAAAGTCTTCTGAGTCAGCAAATGGAATGCCAAGCCAAAAGTTTGAACGGTCTCCATTTGTATATTGAGTTTTTTGACTCCTGTATGAGTCCATACTTTCACATATGGCATAATAGAACTTTGCATTTCAGGGTTAATGGTTGTTGTGAAGTTGTTGTTAAAGTTCATAGCATCTAATGTCAAGTTGTATGACCTCATATCCTCAACTGTAGAATATTCTTCTCTTGGATAGTATTTGCCATCTATGTTTATATGGTATTTAATACCAGGGTTGTAGAAGCAAGAATAGTCATTTATAGTTCGTCTGAACAGTACAAACATAGTATCTGCATGTTTCATTGCAGTTGTTAAAGCAATATCTGTTCTTGCACCTGGGTCAGCACTTTGGTTTCCAACTTCACCTGCAAAGTCTTTGACAGATATTTGGTGTATAGGGAACATAAGTGGAACTGCAATATATTTGGCAGCTAAAGCATTTGAAATATCTGGGTCCAACATATAGACTGCAAGTCTGCTTTCTATTCTCTTGCATTCAAACTTTTCGCATGTGAACTTAACTGGGTCCCAAGCAGTTCCAGCAGCATTGAAATAATAGTTTACTTCAGTGTTGAGGTTTGAGAAACCAAAGTCTAAGTCAACTTTGTCTTTGCAAAAGTCACAGAACTTGTCCACCAGTTCTGTAAGAGTGAATGGGTCTTGTGTTGGTGCAATGACTAAGTTATTTTTGCTTGGAGTAAGTTCGATAGAAATTTTTCCTGCCCAGTTTGGCAAGTATCTTAAAAACCTGAAGATGAGGAAAGATGACAAAGGAACTCTAAGTTTCAGTTTTACTTTGGTTACTGCTGCTGCAGTTTGTCCAGAAAGGTCAACATAAACTCCTGGAACGTTAGGGTCAAGTCTTCTTATTTTCTCAATAGTTGCATACTGGTCTGTTTGTTCTCTAGCTTGTGGTTGTACTGAGTTTCTCAAAGCGAACCATTCATAGTTTGCCCATGTTACTGTTTGAACTAAGTCAGAGTTAGAATATATCTTATATCCCATGAAAACTTCTGGAGCATATTGGTATCCGACATAGAAAATTCCATTGCAACCTTTCTTGTCAGACAACTTGGCAGAAGGTTTTATTTCAATGTCTTGTTCCACGTATAAGAAAGAGTTGTCAATAGAAATTATATGAAACCTGTCGCAAGCAATATCTACTGTTGTTGAAGAACCTTCTCCAAACTCACCTACGTTTCCATAAGAAACAGCAGTTGTATATTCGTAAGTTCCAGGAACTATTTCTGACCTTCTAATGGCATTGTCGCATTCGTTATACCATTCGGAAACATTTCCATTCATAGCATCCAAAACTGTTGGCGTTATATTCTGAGCGGCGTACATTTCATATGAGTAAAAATATAGAATAGTTGGATTTATATGTCATAATAGAACCCACGTGGACCAAGCTTTACTTTCTTCCTGACTGAGTTTTTAACTCTTCTTTTTCCTTCATTGCCCTCTGCTTGAAGTTGTTGCATCTTTGCATTATGTTCATCTAGTATGTTGCAAATTTCCCATGTCCTTTTTGCCTTTTGGCTCTGGTCGCCCATCTCAGGTAACCTATATCCTAGAAAGAGTTTGTCATAGTCTGTATTTGAGTCTTCGCGTATTGTTTGCATGACTCTTTCCTGAGTTTCTGGTTCAAGCTCTTCAAACAGAGCTTGTCCATATGGAATAAGCTCGTTTCCAAATATATGTTTTTGTAGCCATTCTGGTTTTCTTTCCATGTTACCAATATATCTTTTGTGAATGGGAAAGCTTTTACCCAATCTTTCAGTCTTGCGTCGTTTATTTCTGTAGTTGGTTTTATTTTGTCAAGGAACATGTTTTTCAATACTAACATTTCATTTGGTACTGTCCATTTGAGTTTTCTTAAATATTCATCCCTTCTCGATTCATCGTCTGCAAAGTAAGTTTTTATGACATTTTGTAAACTTTCGTTTGCAAGGTCATGTACAATAGGTTCTCTTCCTTCTCTCTCCCTAACTTTCTTTCTAAACTCTTCACCAAATATACCATCTTATGGTTCTGTGTAGTTCTTTGAGATAAATGTTCTAGAACGTCAGGTGTTATATTTCCATCAGCCATGTTCATTTCATACTGGTCCAAAATATCTGCATCTTTCATATCTTTCAATGGCATTAAAGCCGCGCTTAAAATACCAGCTATATCTCGTTCACCATTGACTTCCATTGCGTCTACAACTTCTTGGAATTGTGGTTGTAAGTTTATGAACCACCTATCTGGATTAGCTTTATGACCCCATCTCATTGTAGTTCCATCGTCTGCAGAAACAAAAGTAGGTTTGTTTCCATCTTGGTTAGGTTCTGAATGAACTTTAAACAATGTTTCATTTCTATATGTTTTCTTGAAATTTAACCTTTTATTTTCACCGAGTTCATCCGAAGATTGAACGTTAAATGCTCGTAAGTAAAAAGGGTTGTTGTATTTGTGTACATTTTCTTTCAGTACTTCCATTCTATGCTGAATATTTTCATCTGGTGTTGGAGTCTTTTGTATGTCGGCAAACATTTTTCGATATTCTTCTACTATGTCAGCCGAATTTTTTTTAGACTCTTGGAAATATTCCATATTCTCCGCATACACTTGTTGAGGGTCAAGATTTTTCGGCTGTTCCAAATCTTCATCTAGTTCTGTGAAGTTAGTTTCCAAAGGAAGGACTTGTTCGTTTCCTTCAGGCTCTTCTAGCTGTTGTTGCTGAACTATTTCTTCCATGTCTGGTTGTATCTGAACTTCTTCCTGTGGAGTTTCTTGTACCTCATCTGCTGGCATTTCATATATTCCGAGACCGTTTTCAACAATTTCCCTATCTACGTCATCCGCATTCATAAGCTTTTGTTCTTTCGTTCCGTCTCTATTTTTTACGCGTTTCATGACGAAAGTTGAATTGTCATTTAGCTCTGACATCAAATATCTCGGAGTAAATTCATCCATGTCATTTGGATGATATGCTATTAAATCATATCCCTTAGCGAGCTTGTATTTTCCAGGTTTGAGATTATATCCGTTTTGGTGCTGAGCCATAAAGCTAAATAGGTTCGGGTCAGTATTTCCATCCTTGAACTTTCCAATAGCTTCTTTATATCTGTCACTAAAGTCAACAGTATCTGGGAAACCACACTCTTCTTTAAGCATTTTTAAGAATTCTTGGTTTCCTTGTTCTCTACTTCTTTTATGTCCTTGCTCTGTTTGTGGTTGTTGTTGTGCAGGGTTTTGAACTGTTGGTTGCTGTGCTGGTTGTTGTTGGTTGTGTGTTGTTGTGCTGGTTGTTGTGTGTTGTGTTGGTTGTTGTGTTGGTTTTGGTGCATGCCTGTGTCTGTGTCCATGTGACGATGTAAATGTTTTAGGTAGTCCTGGTGCAGGTGCTTCTCTTGGAGGGTTTGGTGGTATATAAGTTCCACCAGCTGGCACATATGTTCCATCTGCAGCGTAATGTCCTACCTGACTTTTCGTTTTTAAGAAAGCATTTACTAGGTCTGTTTTGGTCTGTTGTAACTCTTTTTCTTGACTTTTCACAACAGTTGCTCTAACGGCGTCATAGGCACTTTGAACTGCCTGTCTCGTTGCTGCATCTGTTATTTTCGTCATATTTTGTGCTACTTCCTTAACTCTTTGTCGAAACCTTCAGACTTCAGTTTCTTTCCAGATGAGAAGTCGTTCACTTGTTTCACCTTACTATGAAGAGCTTCGAAGGCGTTCTTAAAGTCAGCATTTGTTAAAGCTTCATTTGAACTGTCTTCATCCGCTTGTATTTTTGTCCTTATTGACCCTATGAGTTGGGCTGCTTTAGCGTTGGCTTGGGCATCTAACCAGTCATTGTTAGCTTTTATATATTCTGCGCTTTTCATTGCCTTTTGCATGCTGCGTCGTTATTTTTACTTTCTTGTGCTAAGTTTTCATACTGTACGGTTTGGTTTTGCAACTGTAAAAGTTTTTCTGCCTTTACATTTGCTTCAACTTCTTTTTTATACTCATCGCTATCCATATATGTCTTCAGGGCTTTTTGTTTTATCTCTTCATCTTTCAGTATTTTATATTGAGTAGTATGGTTTTTCAAATTTATGACATCTTGTTCCATTTTTGCTACTTCTGCTGCTTTTTCTGACACTTTTTTCGCATATTCCTCTGTACTTAGTTCTTTCAGTTGTTCTTCTTTCTTCTTTTTCTCTACGTTTAACTCATTGAGTTTCTTTGTGTGTCTGTCATATTCTAGTTTCTTTTCGTTTTCACTTATTTGCTTCTGTATGTCTATGTTTGACTTTTTGACATCTGTATTTGATTTTTGAGTGAACTCAAATTCATTTGACTTTGAGGGTTATAGCTGTTCCGTCTGCAGCTCCACCATAGCCTGCCATTTTCGCTAAAAGTGCCGCTCTTAAACCTCCACTCTGTGCACCAACAACTCGGTTTAAAAGCATAGGATTGCTTGACATTTGTTGCAACATAGTGGGGTCATTCAGCATTTGTTGTTGCAACTGTTGTTGTGGTGTCAGTTTTACTATTGGATGTTTCAATGCTCTCTTCCTCTTACGTATATTCTTACGTAGCTTACGTGGCATTTTAAGTGAAGTTAAAAAGCGGTTTTTGACAGATGTTTATATGACACTTTTTGTTCAGCACAAAAAACTACTCGGTCAAAGTGTTGTCAGTTTTGTAAAATAACCGTCCTATCTCATTCTATAAGGGAAAGGCTTCTCAAAGTATACTTCCTTGGAACGCCTGTAACTTTTCCTGTAGCGACGATAGACCCTTACTTGTCCGGACAAAGTTATACTATTTTGAGTGCTCTACAAAAAAGTCAACGGCGACGACTCTCAAAAACCGTTGTGTAAAAAGTTTTACCGTTGGACAAAAAAGTATATATAGAAAACAAAAAACGTTTATAGTTCATTCAATATTTGAGATGGAACGGTTTACCAACGGAGACTTTTCAATAAAATAAAAAAATAGAGGGGGTTACCGTTGACAAAAACGGTTTATTTCAAACTTTTCTATGAGTAGTCCGAAAAAAAACAGTTCATTTTTCATAATGTACGCGTCTCGAACAGTGAAGCCCAATTCAATAGAATACTATCTCGAAAAACAAGAAGCTGACACTGCTATTCAGTCTTTAATACAGAACCAAGCTCAGGAGAACTCAAAAGACTCCCAATTCAAATCGACATCCAATTCGAAGCAATTAAAACTTGACTCGAATGTTTTAAAACCACAACCCGCACGAACAAATACAGCTCTAAGAATAGACCAAAGAATACCGAACAAAGAGTTGAGGTCAAGATTGAAATTACAATCGGATGAGTATTTTTCCCTTAACAACCAGGGAAATACTCCATATAACCGTATCTACACAAATACCGTTAAAGAAACAATAACGGCATACACAAAACTCTGTCAATTGGTCCCCAACCAGGACCAATTGACGGATATTATATGTTCCTACCTTCCCATATTTGCTGAGTGTGTGGAAGGTAGGACATTGTTACAAGCTTGCTTACGTATGCCACCAAATCTCCGTCAACAATTTGCTCAAATTGTACATGAATTTAAAGCTTTTAACAACGGATACGATGAAGATGAAGTAGCAGATGAATTTGGGGAAGCAAAAACATTTTTCCCCTCATATAATACGCCTGCAACAGTATTTCCTACTAATGAATTTCACAACTATTGTGTCGTTCATTTAATTGTTGTGGATATGCCCACAGGTGAAGACATTCTCAGTGGTGACTTCATCGAAGTCTGTATCAATACAGAATTGGGAGAAGATGAGTTGCACAAATTCTCCTACGTCGAACATATATTCAAACCAGCACACCAACTCTTTATCGAAACTGAAATAACACTCACACAAAATATGTCCATCTCATTTAAATCCAAATCAGGACGTCCATACAGAATTTGGATGAACTACGTCCTCTTCCACGACGCCGACGATGACGAAGAAGAGGAAGAAGAGGAGGAGGAAGAAGAAGAAGAAGACGATATCCAGTTCATTTCCATCCGTAAAAAACATTAAAGCAAACATTTCAGAATAAAAACTTCATTTTATACTAACATCTTCAGGGGGCTAGAGGGCACGAAGTGCCTGGAAGCCCCACTACCTTTTTTTTTTTTTTTTTTTTTTTTTTTTTTTATAATTAAATCTAGAATATTGTATTATGCTTAGTATTATTTCATTTTTCTCATTCAATTTAGAATTTACAAATGTCAAAAAATTGAGAGCTGTCACTTTTGATGAATTTCTGTTTATTACAATATAAGATCCTTATATAAAATATAAATATTTTATCGTTTTATTTTCTTGTTTTAGAAATGTTTTTTATTGAAAAATCAATAAAACTAACTCCAAAATAAAATTTTTGATTGACAGACACTATGATGACACCAGGCAAATCTTCCAAGACACCTATTGTCGGGAATCTAACAACCCTAGATCTATCTAAATTGTGGGAAAAAAATTGAATAGTGGAAAAAATTTTTGAATTGAGGTGAAAAGTCAAATGTATGTAAAAAGAGTGTACTAGCAATTCTATTAATTTTTTCAGATTTTTTGTAAAGTTACGATTTTTTTTTCAAAAACGAATTAGGTCATGGATCTGAATTTCGAATACATTGCTGCTCATATCAGCGATTATATTAATAATGAAAACTTCTTCGATACATTTGATATGAGGGATATCAAAATAATCATGAAAAATTCACATTTGACAGCTGATCAGTACGTTACTCTTCTTAAACAATCTTCATCAACTCTCAATTCCAAAGAATTATATATCTATACAAGGAAGGCAAACGTTCGTGTCCAAAATCTCGAAGAAGTTGTTTCAATTCTTAACTCTGTGAAAAGATACATGAAATTCAATATATTTGATGGCATTACAGATTTTTTAAAACAGAATGAGAAAGTTATAAACGATTCTACGAACGAAAGAGAAATAATTCAAGATAAATCCAAAGCGTTTCAAAAAGAAAATGAAAATGCAACCAAAGATACTACTGTCAATGTAACTAATGAAAATTACAATCATTCACGCGATATTTTAACTAAAATCACAGAACTTAAGGAATCTAGTGATTTTGAAACAGTTTACAAATTCCTTGATGAACTTTCTTCGACAGGAAACCACGAAATGATTTCAAAATCAATCGAAGAAGGACTTTGGAAAAAGATTGCTCCTAAAATATATGAATATGATGATCATGAGAGAAATGTTCTTCATTTTGCAAGTGAAAAAGGAAATCTCAGACTTGTTCAATCACTCATCGAATGTGGTTGTGACAAAGAATCAAAGGATAATGATGGATATACTCCACTCATTTGTGCATCATCTAATGGTCATCTTGAAGTTGTTCAATATCTTATCTCAGTTGGAGCTGATAAAGAAGCAAAGGATAATAGTCTTGGATATACTCCACTCATTTTTGCATCATCTAATGGTCATCTTGAAGTTGTTAAATATCTTATCTCAGTTGGAGCTGATAAAGAAGCAAAGGATAATGATGGATATACTCCACTCATTTGTGCATCATCTAATGGTCATCTTGAAGTTGTTCAATATCTTATCTCAGTTGGAGCTGATAAAGAAGCAAAGGATAATGATGGATATACTCCACTCATTTGTGCATCATCTAATGGTCATCTTGAAGTTGTTAAATATCTTATCTCAGTTGGAGCTGATAAAGAAGCAAAGGATAATAATGGATATACTCCACTCATTTTTGCATCATCTAATGGTCATCTTGAAGTTGTTAAATATCTTATCTCAGTTGGAGCTGATAAAGAAGCAAAGGATAAAGATGGATATACTCCACTCATTTTTGCATCATCTAATGGTCATCTTGAAGTTGTTCAATATCTTATCTCAGTTGGAGCTGATAAAGAAGCAAAGGATAATGATGGATATACTCCACTCATTTGTGCATCATCTAATGGTCATCTTGAAGTTGTTAAATATCTTATCTCAGTTGGAGCTGATAAAGAAGCAAAGAATAATAATGGATATACTCCACTCATTTGTGCATCATCTAATGGTCATCTTGAAGTTGTTAAATATCTTATCTCAGTTGGAGCTGATAAAGAAGCAAAGGATAATGATGAATATACTCCACTCATTTTTGCATCATCTAATGGTCATCTTGAAGTTGTTCAATATCTTATCTCAGTTGGAGCTGATAAAGAAGCAAAGGATAAAGATGGATGGACTCCACTCATTTGTGCATCATCTAATGGTCAATTTGAAGTTGTTAAATATCTTATCTCAGTTGGAGCTGATAAAGAAGCAAAGGATAATGATGGATATACTCCACTCATTTTTGCATCATCTAATGGTCATCTTGAAGTTGTTCAATATCTTATCTCAGTTGGAGCTGATAAAGAAGCAAAGGATAAAGATGGATGGACTCCACTCATTTGTGCATCATCTAATGGTCAATTTGAAGTTGTTAAATATCTTATCTCAGTTGGAGCTGATAAAGAAGCAAAGGATAATGATGGATATACTCCACTCATTTGTGCATCATCTAATGGTCATCTTGAAGTTGTTCAATATCTTATCTCAGTTGGAGCTGATAAAGAAGCAAAGGATAATAGTCTTGGATATACTCCACTCATTTGGGCATCATCTAATGGTCATCTTGAAGTTGTTAAATATCTTATCTCAGTTGGAGCTGATAAAGAAGCAAAGGATAATGATGGATATACTCCACTCATTTGTGCATCATCTAATGATCAATTTGAAGTTGTTAAATATCTTATCTCAGTTGGAGCTGATAAAGAAGCAAAGGATAATGATGGATATACTCCACTCATTTGGGCATCATCTAATGGTCATCTTGAAGTTGTTAAATATCTTATCTCAGTTGGAGCTGATAAAGAAGCAAAGGATAATGATGGATATACTCCACTCATTTTTGCATCATCTAATGGTCATCTTGAAGTTGTTCAATATTTTATCTCAGTTGGAGCTGATAAAGAAGCAAAGGATAATAGTCTTGGATATACTCCACTCATTTTTGCATCATATAATGATCAATTTGAAATTGTTAAATATCTTATCTCAGTTGGAGCTGATGAAGAAGCAAAGAATAATAATGGATATACTCCACTCATTTTTGCATCATCTAATGGTCATCTTGAAGTTGTTCAATATCTTATCTCAGTTGGAGCTGATAAAGAAGCAAAGGATAAAGATGGATGGACTCCACTCATTTGTGCATCATCTAATGATCAATTTGAAGTTGTTAAATATCTTATCTCAGTTGGAGCTGATAAAGAAGCAAAGGATAATAGTCTTGGATATACTCCACTCATTTGGGCATCATCTAATGGTCATCTTGAAGTTGTTAAATATCTTATCTCAGTTGGAGCTGATAAAGAAGCAAAGGATAATGATGGATATACTCCACTCATTTTTGCATCATCTAATGGTCATCTTGAAGTTGTTCAATATTTTATCTCAGTTGGAGCTGATAAAGAAGCAAAGGATAATAGTCTTGGATATACTCCACTCATTTTTGCATCATATAATGATCAATTTGAAATTGTTAAATATCTTATCTCAGTTGGAGCTGATAAAGAAGCAAAGAATAATAATGGATATACTCCACTCATTTTTGCATCATCTAATGGTCATCTTGAAGTTGTTCAATATCTTATCTCAGTTGGAGCTGATAAAGAAGCAAAGGATAAAGATGGATGGACTCCACTCATTTGTGCATCATCTAATGATCAATTTGAAGTTGTTAAATATCTTATCTCAGTTGGAGCTGATAAAGAAGCAAAGGATAAAGATGGATGGACTCCACTCATTTTTGCATCATCTAATGGTCATCTTGAAGTTGTTCAATATCTTATCTCAGTTGGAGCTGATAAAGAAGCAAAGGATAATAGTCTTGGATATACTCCACTCATTTTTGCATCATCTAATGGTCATCTTGAAGTTGTTAAATATCTTATCTCAGTTGGAGCTGATAAAGAAGCAAAGGATAATTTTGGAAATACTGCTCTTGATGTTGCAAGAGGTTCTGTGAAAGAATACTTTTTGGAAGACAAAACAGAATAGAGAATAATTATAGGTAATGATAAAATATTAAAAAATAATATCTAAAGTCGATCGTTTTTTCCTATAAAAAATCTGCCTCCTAGAATTTCGGTTTTTTCCCCTCAAAATTTGGCAAATCTGGTAGACTTGGGTATACCCCCGTCCATAAAAGCGCACATTTCTGACACCTAAATGTCAAATGAGCTTAAGGCGCTGGACTTCTTTAAGGTCCTTACTTGTCCTTCAAGCTAATGAATCAGCATCCAAAATGGTACTAATTCATATGGTTATTCAAGAAACTTCGGAGAAATAATTTAGATAATTTCACAAAAACTCAAGAATTTCCTTTCAAATCAGCAACACACCTCTTGTTCCCGAAACAAATATTACTCCTAACATCAGATCTTGATTTATGTTGGTAGTTGAAATTTTGAAATACAAAACCAGAGTTTTCGAGCAGCAACGACAGAAATGACCTTTTCCCATGGAAAAAGGTCATTTTTGTAGTAGCTGTTCGAAAATGAAACTCTTGATTCAAATTTTATATTAAAATTAACAAAATCAAAAAACTTCGAGTTAAGCATATTACCAACGATAATATTTAATACTCCAAGATCTCAAACTTAGCAGACACGAGATTTTTATAAATTATTGTAATTTTTACCTTTTTGAAGTGGATTAAACAATTGTTTATATAATCATTTATTTGCATATTCTTTTTACATCTTATTGATATGATTGTTTTATAACGTTTCCGATTTAATCAATAATCAATAGAAATTCATAATTCACTCTGTGGAGGTGGCTCTGGTTACTTTGGAGGTGGTGGTGGATCTGTTTCATCAAGTCGTCATGGTTCAGGTGCAGGAGGTTCTTCGTATGTATCAGGTTGTGATGGATGTGTTAGTGTTTCAAAAGATTATTCATTCGAAAACAACAACTCATTCATTGGTCCTGTTCACTACTCTGGACTTTCTTTCAAGAACATTCGAATGCTTTCAGGTGAAGAACAAATTCCAATATTCACAACGTCAACGAATAACCAATATGTTACATACGAACAAGGTCATCTCGGTGATGGTGCATTCAAGATCACTCTTCTTGAACGCATCAACATCTGTTCTTGTCAACTTAATCCATATTATTTTTCATATTCTCTATTTTTCTCATTTAGTTTTCTAAATATTTTTATTTGTTAATTTATTATAATTTGTTTTTGACATATATTATGAATTCCCTTAGATTAATTTGAAGTTATATAAAACAAATAAGTTGATCGATATTGGTTTTACATGGGGTGCAAAAAAATTTTTTTATAGAGTTTGCTATTATAAATAATCAAATCCTTTAATAAGGTAGCGTACCAACTGCATAAGCAAAATATATAAAAGAAAAATAACATATATCTTTTGACTACTTTACGCTGATAAATTTTAAATGCAAAAAGGATGAATAGATTGAATGTAAAATAATCGTTTTTGAATCAATTTATTTTTTTAAGCTATGTATTTTTCCTGAAAAGTCAAAAACATCAAGAAGCAGCCAATCCCCATTACTATCATTTTTACCGGTTTGTGTTAATTTAAATGATATAAATTCATCATTTGTTTTAATTTCATATTTTCGTATTTCCCCTTGTTTTAATGGTGAGTTGTTTACTTCATGAATGACTTTTGTATCTCCATTAATAGTAGTGCCTTCAACTTTCCATGTTTGAAGACGGCCTCTCAATTCTCTATAATCAGGCGCGGTTCTAACATTGTACTCAGTTGGCTGAATTGCATAATCTTGCTTTATCTTCCACTGAACCCATGAATTAGGAGAATTATTTGTTTCGAACCATGCGTCATTTCTATATTTATTAATTACACCATGAAATTCATTAGCATAAGACGAAGCAGTCATTTCAACATTTTCACTTCCGAAGTAATTAGAAACAGTCTCAAATGCATTTATAGATCTATCTTTAGAATTTGGATTTCTTGATCTTATCAATGAATCTGCAAATGAATTAACAATATTTTGGAAGTTATTTTCATTGGCTAAACATTTGAAATCGTTGATTGTTTTTTCGCTGCAAAGCTCAAAATGAATGTTTTCAACTAAAGTATAGAAATCTGTACTTTCTTGCAAAAGAGAAATTATGAAATTCGCTAACGAATCTTCATCTTTGACAACAAGTTCTTGATTACTAAAGATCTTTTGAAAAATGTCAATTCCATGTTTTTTCGAAATTGATTTAAGTTGGTCTGTGTTAATTTCATAGAAATGTGATGATATAAAATTAATACATTCTGTTATCTTTTCGTTTGATGAAATATCTGAATAGAATTCAAGTAATTTAACGCAGTTATCTTTATCTAACTTCATTTGATCAATTATGTGAGCTTTGTATAAATATGTTAGTTCTTGTATATCAAGTGACATTCCAATATTAAAAAGATCTTTCAAAACTGTTTCATCGCACTCAATTTCGGTTTTATTGTATTGAAGGATGTTTTTTAATACATTATATGTTTCATGTAATTTAATATCTGTTTGTATATCAATTTTGGCAATGTTATTATCTAAAAGATATTGCGAGTAAAAATTTTGAGAAATTGCAACTGCAAATGACTTGGTAACTGAGATTTCAACATTATTGATTGTTAGTGTAATTTTGTCAAGAGACTGATAGTTATTGATCCTTTGTAGTATTTGGTTATTGAGTTGAATTCGAACCATTTTTTTTGAGACCCCTATGAAATTCATACAAAATTAAACATAAAAACGCCATTGGCAATGTCATACAATGACATTATTCATTTCACTTAATAAATTGCTCAAATCTTTTATATCGTTGAAGCAGTAGTGATGAAATGATTTGTTGAAATTAATTGGGAATATAGTTCCTCATTATTCTTTACATTTTTGTACTGCTATTTAAAAGTCCCCTAAAATATTATTGGTATTACTTTTAATATAACATCTTTATTTAAGGGTGTACTTACCACTTTCTGATATTCTCCAAAAATATCAATATATCTTTATTGTGATTGCAAAAAAAGTATAACCGTAATTTAATGTACTAAGTAGTGATTTAAAATAACTTCTTCGCGAACAATTTTAATGACCTTTTACCTTAGAAAATTTGGATAAAAAAACTAGAATGTCAAAAAATTGAGAGCGTGTCAGAAAGTGGTAAGTGCACCCTTAAAAATGGAATTTTGTATATAGAAATATTTTTACAATAAATTTTTTGACTTTTTCTGTCTATCAAGATCATCTCGGATCTTTTTGATGTCTTCTTCTGTGATGATTATCTTTCGTTCTTGGTGTGAATCAATGTCAACTTGTGAGTCAACATATTTGAGAAGTGCAATGACATCAAAATTAGTCCATGATTGGATTGCAGATATCAAATTAGGTCCAAGAAGAAGCTCATTCTGTTGGATTGCTTGATATGTGTGTGCTGCAATGAGATGTGCAAAATAATTCTCTAAATCTGATTGAGATGATGAATGAAGTAAAATTTGGTCCCAAATGAGTAAAAGATCTTTGTAATTGTGATTATCGCAGAAGAAAATAAGTCTCCAGTTGAGTGCATAGTATATAGACATGATCTTGTTGTTTTTAACTGTTTTATGGTTAATTTTAGAAATCAAATCATCTGCTAAAACATAAAGTGAACTTCGTTCAACATCAAGTGCATTATTGATGTCACTGATCCGTATGAACTTGTAAACAAGATCGAAAATTAATCCTGGAATGAATTTCTTATCAATTTCAAGGAATTTACAAAGTTGGAAGCCTAAAAGGTACAAAACAAGAGTGTAGCGATCATATCCTTGTACATATTTGCATGAAGGATATTTAACATCGATGAGACCAAGTACTTCTTTCAAATCTTCCATAACTAAGTTGATATCGATATCATTTATTTGAGAATCGTGGACAAATCGCTCGTAATTGACTTTGCATCGCAATACATCTGCTAGTATAGTTTTATAACTGGCTGATTTTTGAATTTCTTCTAGTCTTGAGAATTTTAATTCTTCATAGTTCATTAAATTATGTAGTAATTCATCTTGGTAGTTATCGAATGTTAACACACCTGTTTTAAAGTAGTACGCAAGAATTCTGATCTGAGGTTTCTTAAATTTTCCTTTTTCTTTAAGAAATGCGTCGACATCATTCATGTTTTGGAATAATTTCCCGCCAAAAGATGCTGTATTAAGTTTCAGAAGACATTTAGCGAGCTTTTCTTTATCAATCTCATCCGAAAGCATTAAATTTTATGTAAAATTTTCAATAAGATATAAAAAAAACGATAAAAAAACGATAACCTAATCTATATGAATTTCTTTATGAATAAGTCTTAGAAGGATCATATATGATAAAATTGTTTAGTATGTCAATGTTCCCAAAAGATCACGGCTCTTCCAGACTATAGCCTTTGGGAACAATTTTATGGATGTAAGGAATATTATACTCAAGTCACGGTTAGTAAAAGGATTAAGGTAAGTTTCACTCCAAACCGAACAATTTCTATTATATCTTTCAATATTATAAATCTTCTGATTTCATATTCAATACAATGATTAACAACTATAAAGAATATGGCGCTAAAATTAACTGTAAACTCTATATCGAAATGAAGACTTCCATTAACCCTAACAATCAAAGTTTTTCATCTATGATGCAGCCAGAGGAATGACCATAACAGCATTCCAAATATAATTTATGTTTATTTTATTTGTTGTGTTTGATAAATATACATTCTTATTTATAGTATTAAATAATTTCTTGCATTTAATTTGTCGGTAAATTCGAAAACAGTTGTGACATTATTTCAGGCTTATAAATATGCCTGAAAAAGTATCAGGCAATTAATATATATACTCGCTTTTTAATCGCTGTTTCTCCTCTCAAAAAGTAACTAATATTTTCAAAATATATTACTCACTTTTTCCGAAACCAAAAGTGTAGAAAAAAGTGAGTAATATACCCTCAAATTTTTACTTTTTCAATTTCCCTGAGATCAAAAATTTGATTATAACCGAGTCAGATTTTAGCATTTGTTCATCATAGTATTACCATTATAAAGGTTCTTTGATATCCTATACTTCCATATCAGTGTTGGTCTCTATTGTATTTCAAATAGTTCTATAATTTGAAAAAAATTCTCCATATTGAGTTGCAAAAGTAAAAAATTGAGGGTATTTTGAAATTAATGGTTTTTCCTATTTTGAAATTATTCACAAAATTGAATGATTACGACGATCAATAATATTTCTATTGCTAAAATACATACTAATATAATACTTGACATTTTCTTGGAAATCCAGAACTGACAATGAGCAATAGAATTTGTAAAATCAACCTTAAATCACTACCTTATTTTTGATATACGCAGTCTAAAGCAGAGAATTTGAGTCGAAAATAACATACTGAGACTTACTACAAAACGGAACAAATTCATAACGCAAAAATCTCGCATTGTGACGAATATTTATCATATATTTGGTCACAATATTACGGAAACACCAGTCCGCCGCCAATTATTTTGGGTGTCAACCAGAGTGTAAATCAAACTGACAACAAGTGTTTCACATATATCTGCAAATTCATTGATATTCAAGATAGAGCTATTAAATTCCAACACATACAAAAATATTCTATTTTACTATGCGAAAATGTTTTTTCTAACGGTCCAGGCACAATTTATATAGATGGTATTCATAAAAATGACATTGTCATTGATAAATTCTGTTCATATGAAAGCAAAACTCCATCAGATGGTCAATTTATTTATATCGATGGTGCAGTCAACAGTACAATCGTCCAAGGATCAATTATTTATGGAGGAAATAGATCCTTAGAAACTGGAATGATTTACAGTTATGCCAGTGAATCATCTATTTCAGAAATAAACATTTCCAATTGTATTGCAAAAACGTTTACAGCTTTCAAATTAAGTTTTTATAAAATGTTAAAAATGTCATTTTGCAATATCGAGAGCTCAAAAGCAACTGAAATCTGGCTAAATATAATTTATACTCCATTGATATTTGAAAGGTATAACTATATTAACAATTCCCAAAATCCCACCTATTTTAATGGCATGTTTTTGGTTTCACAAAGTATAGCTAATATTTCAGATTCCGTTTTCAAAAGAACACGATGATATACTTATTTGAGACATCTCAAATGGCTCAAATATTTATTTTTAGATGTGTTGTTGAATACTATTATTTGACAGATACTGGTTCTGTTTATACATCAGAAAAAGAAACAGAATCATTTAATAACGAATTAAAGTTCATTGGATTAAGGCCATGCGAAGGAGATATAGTAGTTGTATTTGTGAGAGCCAAAGAGAAGAAAAAATGTTCAAAATTTTATCCAAAATATTTTAATCTGGATAAATATCATCTTACTATTATGTTAATCAATAAAAGCTAAAAATTAAAAATTGACATTGTGAATTGTCGGAAGATAAATTGAAAGCAAAAATGGGCACTTACAGAATTGAAGAAAATTTATTATGCGATGATTTTGAATAGATTGCTATTTCAGAAGATTCTAAGTAAACACTTAGTTTCTTAAAATATCATTAAAATTATTTATAAAATAAAATAGTTATTTGTTTCTAATATTTAACACTTCTGAGAGGTATACATTCTGCTTCAATAGAACTTCAAAATATTTATAATTTAATTTAAAATTATTTTCATGAATAGATCCTGTTAACTATTATTGAATAAATTGCCCACACACACACCCAATTTTAATAATATTTTATATCTAATTACATAATTATGCAAGATATTCAATGTCAATTTTCGGTTATGGATCTGATCACAGAAAATTATTTCAAAATATAATTATCAAAACTATTGTTTAGTTATTATTTATGAGCACATTAAGTGAGATATTCAAACCATAACTGCCATTTCAAATTTTGAATTAAAAATATTTTTTAAGATCAAGAGCTGATTTTGTTAGACTAATTATAAGGCATATTTACTGCAAAAATCAGAAACAGCAAGTGAACCTATTAAATTATAACTGCAATTCAAAAAAATTGTCATGTTGAATAATCAACAAATATTGAATAAAGACTTCATTTCTTCTAATGCTTGTTCAACAGCATGAACAGAAAGCCTTCCTCAGCTGGATGCGTGAGACAGGCAATATGTTTACAGGTGATGAATATCAAACACGCCTTGGAATTTGGATTGCCAACAAACGTCTTGTTCAAGAACGTAATCGTGCCAACCTCGGTTTTACGGTAGCACTCAACAGACTTGCCCATCTCACACCTGCTGAATACCAAGCACTTCTTGGATATTGTAATAACGGTGTTTCTGTAAAAGCAGTCAAATCTAATGCAGTTTGCATTGATGAAATCGACTGGCGTTCAAAGGGTGTTGTTAATCCAGTACAAGATCAAGGACAATGCGGCTCTTGCTGGGCTTTCTCTGCCATTCAAGCTCAAGAATCACAGTATGCAATTACCTACAGCAATCTCCAAAAGCTTTCAGAGCAAAACCTTGTTGACTGCGTTTCCACTTGCTATGGCTGCAATGGCGGTCTCATGACAAGCGCTTATGATTATGTTATCAATCATCAGAATGGTAAATTCATGTTGGAAAAAGATTATTCATATACTGCTGCTGAAGGTTCATGCAAGTTTGAGGCAACAAAGGCTGTTTCAAAGATCACTTCCTACATTCCTGTTGCAGAAGGCGATGAAAAAGATCTTGCAGTAAAGATTGCTACTTATGGTCCAGCTGCCGTTGCAATTGATGCTTCTGCTTGGTCATTCCAAGTTTATTCATCAGGCATCTATGATGAACCATCATGCTCCTCTTACAACCTCGATCATGGTGTTGGCTGTGTAGGTTTCGGTAAAGAAGGCTCTAAGAACTATTGGATTGTTCGTAATTCTTGGGGTGAATATTGGGGTGAAAAGGGCTATATCCGCATGATCAAGGATAAGAACAACCAATGCGGCATTGCAACAATGGCTTGCATCCCAGTTGACAAATAAACATTTCAAGGTTCAGTATAAAAGTTGACCTTAAAAATTGATTTTTTTTATTCAAATTGGAATTCCATACAGTTGCTTGAGTGGGATAAATATTAATGCAAGAATGGTATAAAAGCCCCTCATTATTAACTAATGATAAATCTCAGAATTGTAAATGTGATGCTATTTGATATGTTTGAACAAATTAATAGCTATTCGACAAATCTTGATTATAAAATAAGCTGAATTTGGGCATGTTTAAGATGGTCGTGCTACTAATATTTAATATATGTCACTTTTTACAATTGTCAAATTTTCAAAAAAAATTATTCCTAATTCGAAATATAGATAAGAGGAATCCCAGATCATAGTATCTGGGAACATTTCTGTGGATGTACACTCTATGAAATGTATGTTACAGATAGTAGGCTCATAAATGAAAGTTTCGACATTTTTGTTAATGAAGTAATTTTTGAAAATTTAGCTCCAAATGGTGTCATTGATATTCAAAGCAATGACGACAAAAGTCTGCTTCTCGCATTTTGTACTTTTTTCAATTCATATAAACCTGATAGTGGAACTATAAGCAAAACTGGATCAGGATCATGTACGCAATATAGAGTTTGCAACTCTAATCATATTTTGTTTGAGAAAAATATTAAATGCTCTCATTCAATCCTAAATCTTAGAATTTATGACGACAAAATTGACATTTTGGAATCTTCATTTGAATATATTAAACCAACTCATGCTGTATTATATAATAATGCAAAATTTGAAAAATTAGTATCAATAAATATTTCACACGCAAATGATACATGTTTAACTCGTGGCAATGATATGGCAGACTTTATAGTTAATTTCAGTAATTTTTATGATGTAACTTCTAATCAAGCAATTTTTGAAGTCCCAGTTGTAGCAATATCTAATATAATAAAGTGCATCAATGGAGATTATGGATTTTTTGTTGATTGGGGTATAGTTCTAATTCGCTGTTTCATAAAAGAATGCAGTACTAAGAAATTTTTCCAATTTTTAATTGTTTCCGATAATCCTATAAATTTATTAGGATGTCATTTTGTAGATAATTCGTTTGAACCAGATTGGGACAAAAATGCCAATATAAACACAACAGAACCTTTTAATACAATTGAAAATAGGCATTTGTCAACAGTTGTATGTGAAGCAGAAAGAAAATTTTTGCCTGAAGATGACTTGAAATTATCATCGATATGTAATATCAATTCAAAATTCAAGAACATTTTCCCTCTCTTTCATGTATTGACAAGTTCTAAACGGAAAACTAAAACAATTCTCAATCCAAAAAAACGAATTCATTCAGAATCATCACTTAAATCTAAAATGAAAAAAGTTTTGAAATCAATGAGAAAATAGCGAAAAAAATTTAACTTGAAATCATATATTTCTTGTAGCCAAGGTTTGATACTAAGTATATATTGATGGATTGTTTTTCATATGAACCATTAATCATTATAAAAAGAGGTTATTATTTAATACATAATCTATTTATTCATAACAAATATAAATTATATTGTTATAGGTAATTTAAAATTCGTTTCAAAAGCTGAGTCAGACAAACTGATTTTTGTAACAGAAGGTGTTGGATACTTAAAGAATGGAAATTTAATTATTTTCAAGTAAATTACTCCTCCCATGATGAATGTTATTGATCCTATCAATCTGAAGTAACTATATTTACTCCATTTCTCACCAAACTTCTCATCTGATTTTAAGATAAACTTTCCATTAAATGCATGATAAATAATCAAATCAATGATCCAACTTATTGATCCACTGACCATTTCAACAATAGGATATCCAACAGAGTTAGTTGCCATAATTGTTCCTGTTACACAACAATTATATACGCATGCAATAGGAAGATAAACTAGAAACAAAAGGATAATGGCAGAAGAATGAAAAGCAAGCAAAATTGAAGAACAAAAATTTTCATGCAGAGATAAAAAAGTATGCTCAGGAATAAAATTAGCTATTGGATAAAATCCAAAAAGTACTATAAAGAATCCAAAGATTCCATTGAATCCTGTCATCAGCCATGGAGAAACATCATTTTCTTGAATAATTTTTTGTATCAAAACTGTTCTGATTGAAATTAGCAGCTGTGAAATTAATAGTAATATACATGGTAATATCTTTGGTCTAGTCATATTTACAAACTGGCCATCAATTGCAGAAATGCTCTCAATAGAACAGAATTTGTCAATGACAATGTCACTTTCAATATAACTAGTGAGACATAATAATATCGAATATCCGACAATATTATATAATGATATTGATTTGCTCCCGAATGCAGAGGCATTTTGATTCTCACCGGTAATAAATTTCGAAGGACGACTAATATCTGCATGATATTGTTCCCATATGCTATTTGGATCTTCTTTGTGTAATAATTATTACATATGATATCATTTTTATTGCTCAGTTGATATGAAAAAATTTTGTCATTTTTAAAAGTAAAATTGAAAGAAATTGCTATTGAAAATGAAACAATCATTGAACGATCTGATTAGGATTAAGTTTTTGTGTTTCTGATTGATCTTATTCATGATAGGCAGAGTAATCTCATAGTTTTTTGTTATGAAAATAATGAAATAATGAGTTACTTATTTGTCACTTTTTAATTTTGATGAATCAAATTCTTACATCTCACTATCACTGCAAAAATGTCATTTTAAGAAACAATAGATAAATTACCATGATATTTAGTGTTATATTTATTGATTACAAAAATATTTCTAGTGATTGTTATTCAGAAGATGGTAAAACACTTAGAGAAGTTAAAGATAGATCGTCAAATCTCAGGATATCAGCGAAATGCGAGATTATTCAAGATAATTGCTTTAAAAATCTTAAATCATTGGAATATTTTTCATTTGAAGAAAATCCGAACTTAACATTTATAGGAAAAAGCAGTTTTTATTCTTGTAGTAGTCTCAAAATTGTTAATTTATCTTTTTGTAACAAACTTACAATAGTTTCTTCAAAAGCTTTTTTTCTTTGTTCTTCTGTCACTGAATTAATTTTACCAAAAGGCCTTCTTGAAATACAGAATGCAGCATTTGGTTGTTTTTATTATATAAAAAGTGTAATAATTCCAGCATCTGTAGAAATATTAGGACAAGATGCATTTTGGAGCTGTAAAAATCTAGAAAGTGTTGTTTTTGAGGAAGGTTCAAATTTAACTGCTTTAGAAACTGAAACATTTGTAATTACTAAGATTACTTCTTTTCGAATTCCTGAAAAGGTGGCAAAGTTTGATGGATTTGCATTTAATGATGCCAAATTAACAAATCTTACTATTGATGATAAGAATAATTATTTAATAATTGAAAATAATACTGTTTTATCAGCAGACAAAAGTATTTTATTTTTTATTTGCAACAAATCCTTTCGAACATATGAAATTCCAGATTTTGTTACAACTTTAGGAGATTCTCTATTTTCTAATTCCAATGTAGAATCAGTAATAATTCATAAATCTGTTACAACTATAGGAAGTAAATGTTTTTCCTCTTCACAACTTACTACAATTATAATTCCAGAAAACGTGAAAAAGATTGGTGATTGTCTCTTTTTGGATTGTCAAAATCTAGTAAATGTAACATTTCAAGGTTCTTTGGAAATGGGAGGAAAATTATTTAATTGGTGTGCTATTCTTAATCATGTAATTTTCCCTAAAACATCAATGATTGTTAATTCAGATTCATTTAGCTCTTATGATACTTCAAAATTTGTAATGTCATTCACTAACAAAACTTTATTTTCATCTAATTCAATTCAAAGAATCACAAATGTTTCTATTTCATATCTGCCGGAACCAAATCTTATAATTGATACAAACTGTTTAATAGTGAATTATGATAAAACTGAAATTTATGAATTTTGGGGATATTACTTCAGTGAAATTACAATCCCTAAAACTGTAGAAACCATTAGAATTAAAGCATTTGAAAATTCTGATATTGAATACATAAATTTTGAATTAGATTCGCAACTTTCTGTGATTCAAGATTATGCATTTAGAAATTGTTCACATTTAAAATCATTAAAATCTTCTTTAGCAAACTTGAGAACATTAGGTGATTCAGCATTTAAAGATTGCAAAAATTTGATAATAATAAGCTTTGGATTTCCAAATATATTTATATTTTATAATGCATTTGAAAATTGTATAAATTTAGTAAATGTAACCAATATGACCAATATACCAGATAAATGTTTTTCAGGATGTACAAAATTGTCAACAATTTCAATAATTGAAGGAACTAATTTGATTGGAGTAAGATCATTTGAGAATTGTATTTCATTAGAGAATATTATTATTCCATCAACTGTTGAAACTATTTCAGAATATGCATTTATTCAGTGCAACAAACTTAAATCAATAACATTTTCGGAATCAAATTCTCTATCAAATATAGCAGTCAATTCTATTTCAGGATGTGAATCTCTTAAAAATATCAGTAATTTCGAATCAGAAAAAATACAAATGTATTGATAATACTCTTTATTATAAAAATGATAGTATTTTAGATCTTGTCTATCGTCTGAGTAAATCAATTAATGATGTTCTAATTATCAATTGTGATATTATCTGTCAATATTCATTCAATCATAGCAACAACATTGTCAACATCAGTCTTTCATCAGACAGTGTTTCACATATTGAATCATATTCATTCAATGACTGCAAAAACTTAAAATACGTCAACTTTCCTCTATCGGTTGAAACTGTTTCAACATTTGCATTCCATGACTGCAATTCTATTCGATGTCCTCTTGTTATTGAAAACAAAACTATTGAATACCTTAGAATGATTGATGAATCTGGAATTCCTTTTAGACTTATTTTTTCATGTCGAGTTGCGCATGGAACCTACAAACTTCAAGTAACTAAACAAATATTCAACACTTCACCTAGCCTCTTCTGGCGATGTCTTTCAAAATAAAAGCAATTAATTAGTCTGCTCACTTAAATTTTTAAAAAATCATTTATTGAAAATAAAATATGATAACATGTGTAAATAATAAATAGTTTTTTCTTAGAAGATAGTTATATTTCATTCAATATCAAATTTTTTGCCACTTATTGAAAATATTTTATTGAAATTTGTTTTCAAGTTTGATTGGTCAAATTATAGTGATTATTTTAAGTTTTATCAATTTATATCGATTATCCATAGGTCATACCAAAAAGTTATTGAAAGATAATATCATAATCAAATGTGGAAATGAAAATTGTATTTATTTGAAGAATTTTAATAATAAATAAATGTTTAATTTGTTCTGTTTGTTTCATTGTTATTTTCATCATCAGAATAAGAACTGTCATCATTGGCAATAACACGTAATTTCTTCTTTTGTTTGATAATGAAAATGGAAACAATAATAATGATGGCGATGATTGCAAATGATCCAACAGAGATTCCAATAATTGCACCAACTGAAAGTTTGTTATCGTTTGATGATGGTGTTGGTGATTGAGGAGATACAGGAGAAACAGAGATAACATTGATGTCTGACACTGCTGCAACTTCAATTGCAAGTTCTGGATAATCTTCTTTGTGGATTTCGAATGAAATTTGTTCAACTTCTGTTTCTGATGATGGTGTGATGACACTGACTGTTGGTTCTGTCTGAACAAAGTCTTCAACTTCTGATGCATGACGACGGATATTTGCATCACTGCCGTCAAGTGAGTAGAACTTTGCATCTGCACCTTTTGGAAGTTTGATGTTCAATGTTGATGTTGATTTGAAGAATGATGCGAAAATTGCGATACGTTTGCCAACAAGTGATTTGCTGTCAACACCGAAATCTTTTGCTTGTATAGTCTGTGTGCCTGTGATGAAGATCCAGTAATCAAATGGAGGATAATTAGAGATGTCGTATATGTACATGAAGACTTGTGATTTCTTATTGTTATTCTTCTTGTTTGATATTGTCAGATATCCATCTTCCGTGAAAAGAACAGCTGATTTCTTCTTACCACTAACATCAAGTGTATTATCACCAATTTTTGCTGTGATTTGAAGTTTCTGTGATGCATCATAACTCAAAACAACTAACTTTCCTTTTCCAATTTTATAATCTTCCTCTTCTGGTGTCATTGCGTATTTTCCGCTTGGAACATTTTCTTCCTTTTTCTCTGGAACTTTATCTGGAACTACAACTTTTGTTAAACAATTCTCGCATGAGCCAAAAACAATGTAATCATAATAATCATCGGCAAAAGAATATGTATATAAATCAGGCATTTGATCTCTATAAAAGCGAAAATAAGCAGATATAGAATTATAATTTTGATCTCTAGGATTCATGTATTTAACTTCTTTTATGCCATAAGTACCATTATATCGACCAAACTCTTCTTGGTCTATCCTTAATATAACAAAATTGGTGTTTGAAACTGTGTATTCTTCTTTTTCTGATGTCATTTGTGTATATTCACCATCTAAATAGTATGAATTTAAATATGATAAATTATCTCTTGATGATGCATCTCTCATGAATGTAATTTCCAGTGGATCATCTCCAAAAATAAGAACATAGTATTGATTCCAAACATCTCTTCCATGTGTAACCCTCGGAATTTGTTGAGATTGAGCATTTGCAACAATGTGTGTGATAGTCTTATTTTCTTCAGATCCTGCGATAATGTGAAGATGGAATTTTGATATTGATCCAGTTGTCACTATAAAGCGATCATTTATGTGATTCGTCCAAGATATTGATTTATTGGCATCATAGAAAAGACCAACTTTATCACTTGAAAATTGAATTAAATCTCTTTGTGATCCAGTATATGAGATATTATAAAATTTATCATGGTCGCATTGATATTCATTGATTCCAATGTTTGCAGTGAAATCACTTGCAAATGTTACTTCTTTCAATAAAAATTCACCAAGATTTGGAGGATAATGAGCCATTAAAACAAGATCATAGTGTTCGAAATATAATTCACTTTGATCTAAGTAAAACAAATGATCAATATCATTATAATATATGTTAGCATTTTCATATTTCCTTGCTAGGTAACCTCCTCTATCAGCAAGATAAACACAATTCCTAAGATGTTTATATTTCTCTTTCTTTTCAATATCATAATGGAAATATTTGTTACTATATCCATAAACTACATCCATTGTATCGCATTGACATTGAGAATAAGTTCCTAAGTGGCAAAATGAATTTAGTGGTTTAATAAACCAATAGTTCATTGAAAATGATCCTTGTCTTGGTTTAAAAATCATTCCATTTATATTGGCAACAATTGGAGGACAATCTTCTCCATTTCCTAATACTATATCTTGATAATTCTGAATTATAAATGCATTACCTTTTGTTTCATATGCTTTGATTCCATTTGGATATTCTGTGAACCAAGGGCCATTCGAATAAATCAAGTGATCAAAGTTTATAAGATTATATTCTTCGTGATAAAGAGGTTCATCAAGGTTTATTATGTTTGAAAATGATTCATAAACTATTGCATCAGAAGGAAGTTCATCGTTTGGATTTGACTTTTGAACATTTTTAACTCCAACTAATTGTCCATTTGTAAAGTTTGCTCCTATTTCTATGTAAGCAAAATAAACATTGTTAACAGTGAATTCTGGATTGGAACCTATAAATCCTGGTGTGGATTCTTCATTCGGAGTTGAATAAACTCGCAAATCACATGGATAAGGTATATCAAGGCCATGATAAAATGTAATATCACAAGGAACATCAGAGACAACATAAACTCTGACTTTCAAAAAGTCACCTCTTTCATAAATGCAATCGGTTGAAGGTAAATATAGTTTCTTTCCATATGTATTCATTAAAATGTAATATTTTTCATTCATTTCATAATAATTGATGTAAAATAGAACAGCACGCAGCGTTTTTGAACCTTCACAACGAATGATGAAATCAGATGTAGGATTAGGATTCTGTTTAATTGGTAAATATAGCATTTGCTCGAGATTTGTTGTTGTACCATTTGGATATTCTACTGTACAACCTTCTGGATTATAAATAAAAAATACTAATGATTTTTTAACAGAAAGTTTAGCTTCTGAATTAATAACGACGTTGAATGGAACATTTAGTACTTGTTCTGTCAAGTTCTTGACTTCTAGAACTGATATAGAAAGGGAAAATAAACACCAAAACATTTAAATTTTAAATTTCATAGTCGCATAATTGAAAATAAATAAATTTGATTGATAATATTAGTATGATGAATGAGTATCATTATATCCGATATACGATGTAAAATTGACGGTTTACGATTATTTTTTTCTTCAATTTGATAATGTGGGGAAAAAGCATATACATTATCAATTAATCAAACTTGCCGATACTTCCAAAATTCCAAACATTCAAAAAATTATTTTGAGAACTATCGAAAACGATAACAAGTATGAATTAGCTAAAAATATGATAATTGTTAGATGATTGGTCGATTGAAAAAAAACATCAGAATTCTGTTACAAATCATGCGACTCACGTATCAATTAAGATGGGGGTAGACCAATTTTTTTATAACGTACAAAAAAAAACAATTCCACGTCAGTAAAGGACGATGATAATCAGATTATCGATAACTTATATAACTAATAAGCGGATGTGTGCACTCAATATAATAATACCGAAACTATACTCTGATCATTGGTATATTCAAATCAAGTATAAAACAAGTCCTGCCTAAAATCGAAGTCTATCGTCCTTTACTGACGTGGAATTTTTTTTTTGTACGTTATAAAAAAAATTGGTATACCCCCAATTAAGATTTTATTCAACCAAAATTATTATCATATATATAGACACCTATTTCATAATATAAATTTTATCTTGAAATATTATAACTACGATTGAAATTTTAATTTTTAAATAATATCACTGGATAGCCCATAAAATTTGTGATTTGCTTGGGAATTGTCTCAGGCACATTAATAGATCTATATATTTTCGATCAATTTTTTTCGAAATTTATTTTCGAGTTTAATTTTCTAAATTATAGTGATTATTTTAAGTCCTATCAATGATGAATATGATTATATACTAAAAACAATATCAAAGGAAAATCAACACTTAATTTTCAAAATTACTTAAGGTATTGAAATCAATAAAGAAAATATTAAAGATAAATAAAAAGATAGATAAAGATATTTATAATAACAAAATAACAATTACAAAATAATAACAAAAATAATATAATAAAATCAATTTTCTAGGTTCATTCCGAGATATGAGTTCATGATGTAGAATTCGTTTTCGATATCTCTCGGTGGTTTGAATTGAGCGAACAGACTTTTGTTTGAGATATTGTCGTAGCATTCTTTGAACAAAACAAGTTTCCCTGCTGGAACAATGTCGATGCAGTCGAATGTTTCGACAATCAGTTGAGATGAGAAATCGAAGATTGTCTTTGAAATGCCACTCAACGATGAATAGACTGGTCCACCGAAATCAACAAGACAACTCAAGATAGAATCAAATTCGATCGTCTTGTTAACTGCGTATGCACAATGGTTTGCAAAATCAATCATGTTGTTGATACATTCATTAGGATCTGATTCTGATTCATTTTCATTTTCGTTGAAGAAGTTTCCAATGAAAATGAAACATCCATTGAATGATCTGATTCTGGTGATGTTTTTGTATTTCTGATTGATCCTGTCCATGATAGACATTGTGATCTCGGTGATGTCTGTGACATCCAATCGACTTGTTTTAGTACCAATATCACATTGTCGTTTAAGAATGGCTGACATAACAACACATCGTTCTTTGATGAGCATGTTTGGCATCTTGTTGTCAAGCATAAGTTTAGCAATGTTATTAGGAACAAGTCGTTTCAACAAAACAAAAAGTTTCTTAGATGTTCGTTCAAGTTCTTCTTGAAGACTGATGACATCTGTTTGATTTCGCATCAAGATACCAAACTTAATTGTGTCTTTACGTTTTCCTGGAACAAGAGAAATGTTGAATATGATTTTCTTACTGTCTTTAGAATAACATTCAACTGTAAATTGATGTCTTGCAACAACTCCAAGAGGATTAAACATCATTCTAATGAAATCATAAAAATCATGATTGTTTTCTTCTGGAATAATACTTTGAAGATTTATATCTTCGTTCATAAGCAAAGAATATCCAAGTTGTGCTGTACCTTGTTGATTTATTTGCGTGATTCGAAAATCACTGTCGAAAAAGATAACTGTATCTCGAATTTGACCAACAATGATGTCACTCATTTCTGATAAATCAATTTCATCATTTTTCTTGTTGTTCAATTCAATGAATCTGTTAACAAGCATAGATTCTGTTGGCGAATATTTTGAGTGCAAGATCAAAACTAAATGTTTCATGCTGTTAATGCCATTAGTAATAACTGTATAATATCGATGATATGACATCAAAAATAACAAAACTAAAATAGATATGAAAAATGAATAAATATATGTACATAATGTTCCCATCGTATATGAATTTCGACGGAACAATGTTTCATATGTATTATTCATAAGATAATCTGATTCATTCAACAACAAAAGAATACCATTAATTTTCTCGTTTTTAGACATATTTTCAATATTATCAAGTAATGTATTATATCGCAAAACAAAGTGAGAAAATAAATCAGAATATGTTTCATTAAAAAATAATTTCGTTGGATGTGCATCTGGATCTGGAAATCCACTGATATTACATAACAAAAACGAAATCATCTTATAAACAACAGAAACATCATCAATTTCTCGGTTATTCATGACTGCAGCGCCCATTCTTTCTTGTGCTGTTTGTGAGAAAAAATATAAACTCATAACAACAACAACATATCGAATGAAAAACAAAATCCAAACCATGGTAATGAATGTAAATGGATTTCCCATGTCAATGTTAGACAAAAAAATTTCGGTTTTCCGGAAAGATCAGACAAATCAAAATTTTGATTAAGATTATTATTATCATTCTCTTCAATCTCTTCCAAATCAAGGGCTCCATCATTGTCAATTTCTTGACTTGGATATCCAAAACTGTTTTGATTAAATTGGATAAATAATTTAGATCGAAATTCTTCTAATGTACTCATTTCTATTCCTGAGAAAACTTCAATAGCTTTCATGATCTCTTTCTTATTAGAAACTAATACTATATAACTGAAAATAATTAACAAAATAAGTGAAATAAAAAATTCAGTTTTGATTTGTGAAAAAATTGATTTTGATCTCATATCTTTTGCACACATTTCATATCGATCAATAAGTACTTCCATGTCATCAAAGATTTCATGCAAACGATGTTCGATTCGTGCTAAATTTTCGAAGTTATTCGCTTTAGATGATAATGATAAAGAATTCTCTGAAAAAATTGTATAAAAATTTGTTTTCAATTCAATTGTTTTTTCAAGTGAGTAATCAAAAATTGGTTTCTTGTCTGTGTAACAATTTAAATTCGATAAATAAATAATCATATTATTCAAACCCCCAAAGTTATTAACAATCTTAACAGGAGTTGATTTTTGTCCGTATTGTTCAAAATATTTAGAAATGAACCATGAAAGGAATGAAATCTTAAAGAAAGATGGAGAATGTGTCATATTAAAGTATTCCATGGGAGGAAGAAATTTCTTTGTAATGAAATCATTGTAATTGTAATATGGAAACAAAAACTTAAAAAATAAAATTAAAACAAAAAGTGTTGTTATCTTAAATGTGAAATGCGAAACCTTATCTAACAACTTTTGGATCTTAAGACGTTCTGTAAATTCAAAGTCAAAATTGTTTTGTGGTTTGTCACTTTTTTGTAATTTTTCACTTTTTGACTTAATTTTTGGTTTTTGGTCGTTAGTTTGTATCAAAGAATTATTGAGAAAAATTGCTTTTTTGTTCAATAAATCTGACAAAATGACATCACCTGAAATTTTTTCTAAAAAATCTCTGTAAGAATCCAAGATTTCGAATGAAAGAGGATTCCATTCGAATGCGTAATCATACATCAATTTTAAATCATGACATGACATAGAGTAGTTCAATGCACTTTCATATTCATACTTTTTATCAATCAACGAATTAGAAAAAACATATAAATATATTTTAACTTTTTGCTTCACTTCTTCTAGCATTTTAGTGACATGTTCGATGTCATTTTTATTAATTCTATATCTATTCATTTCGTAGTGTAATTCCATCAAAAAATGGCGACTTGACAATGATAATTTCTTGTGATCGATTGTGAAAAGTTTTTCACGAATTCGATGTGGAATTGATGAAGAAATCATCAACATTTTCGCACATTCGATTGTTAATTCATCATCTCTGTCAGAATCAATTGCAGCAATTAATAATTCATGTAAATCTTCATGTTGAATGATTAACAAATAATGGAATAATGTAATTAAACGTTTTGGAGGTATATTTGGTAAATATATTCTATTATCTGCATCATAAAAGTTTAATTTGCCAATTCTGTAGAATTTTTCATAAATCTTAAAATATGCAAGAGTCAAACTATGGGAAATAAACAATCTAAAGAGTGGAAATGATATAATTAATATACAGATTGTGATAAATGCTGGTAATTTGAATGCAAAATGAACAAATTGTAAAATTAAATAAAATGATGAGATTCCGAAGATTTCGCATGCAAGAACATTCGATGAATACGTGAAATATGGTAATGTCGCAAGTCATAACAACAATATATTGGATGTAACAAAGGAAATACCCATAACCCAAAATAATCCGCTCGAATTATACTCAATTAATACACAGGATTGCTGAATAATGTTAATAACAAGATTTATGACCATGAAGTACTGGTGGTTCCAAAATGAGTGACAAACGGAATCCCGCTTTGTAAAACTTTTGTGAAATAACGCGCCGATAAAAGTGTAAATTGAATACATTACAAATGCGAGTATTGAAAAAATCAAAGGTATTTTGGATTCGATTCCTTTTAATTGATGGGAAAATAATATTTGCATTGCTGATGATGAGTAATTTAAAAATATTGGTGTTACCTCTTGTAAAATGAAATTTAATGGTGTTGCTAAGTGATGAATGATCACTCTTTCGCGGTGATGGTAATAATAAACTAGGAAGATTGTAAGCAACAATGCGAAAACGAATAAAAAGATGGCTAAAAAATTGATCCCTATAAATTCGAGAGTTGTAAGCTGATAGATTATTTCCGAGAATAATATTGTGAATATACCATTTGATAGCATTCTAATGGTAATCGGATATAAACATAATTTAAAGAACCAAAATATTTCGAGAATTTGTTCGAGAACAAGACGTGCGACTGGAAAAGTATCTTGTTTGGCATCTATCAAGTGAAAAAAATGAAAAAAGTTGCTCCACCCAGCAACATTTTCCCAAATTGGGAAGGTACCTTTCATCGAATTTAGTTTATTGAAAATCTTTATGAATGTATAGAAAAATTGTTTTGAAAAGAAATTAGTTTTTATTACATATCAAGTAAAATTATTGATTTTTTGCGGTGGCGATAGCAATTTTTGTAAACTCTTACAATTCAACATTTCTTTTAGAATTTAATCGAATTTTCTTATTAAGCATTGTGCAAATAAGAGATTTTTCCCCTCACTAAACAAATTGAATGGGCATGACAAAATGTGAAAAATCCTCGATAATCACAACAAATTAATGGGAGTTATCTGATCGCTAAGCTCGATATGAAGATGTTCACTATTCAAAAATAACTTAAAATTCATATTTGTAATAATATTAATTTTACTCAACAACCTTAACATATGCTGCATCTGCTTCAGCGCTTGCATTTTCCAGACTCATGTTCTTGTAAGAGCCGAAATATGGGCACTTCTGAAGGCAAGGGCCAATACCGAAGTAAATCAGAAGAACAACGATAGTCACAATAGAAATAACTATTATTAAAGCAACAATAATACCAATAACAGCAAGTGGGAATCCTGGTGATCGAAGATCTGATTTCTTAAATATCATTGATTCTGTTGGTATCATTCCTTGGAACGGAGTAAATATCGATGCGTGTGCTGGCTTAACCCATGACAAATCGGCAGATGCTGATTCGAGATCGGCGCATTTAACCTTTAATGAACTATAATCTACTCGCTTAGTTGAATCTACAGAATAATAACCGTAAATACCACTTGGAAATGATCCTTTTTCATCTGTGTATGATACCGTACCGTTCGTATATTTGTTATATTGTTGAGAAATGATACCATCATTGTTCTTGAATGTTGTAGTGATATTGAAGTTGCCAAGAAGTGTAATTGAGCTGATACGTGTCGTTACCGTGAATGTGTTATTGGTCTCTCTATGTACTAATCTACTGAATTTTAATTTTAACGAATCATTAACATTGGTTGAATAATAATGATAATACTCGATATCTTCTGTTATTGTTGAATTTGTTGAATTATCGATTGATATGTTTGTTATCACAGTGCTTTGGTTTATTAAGAAAATACTTGCTGTTTCATTTTGTTCTGCTGTCCAAACTTTAATAAGTGTCTTATTAGTATATACGCAATACTTATCTGGACATGCTGTTGAGATACCAATGCAATTTGAAGATTCTTTTGAAACTCGATACTTTTTATCTTCATAAAAAGCACCAATCATATGGAGATTGTATCCCAATCCGAAAGCATTATCGACTGCTAGACATATTGGAACGTTAATATCAAGAGGAAATACAGAATCAGATGTTAAAACAGTATAATTTGTGCATCCTGCAATTATATTGGGAATATTGAGAGTGTTATTGGTATCTGTTGTATTGTCGCAATAAACATGTGCGCAAATTAGTGCTAGTATGTAAATCGCGGTAAAATCTTACTCAAAAAATAAAAATTCAAAGGATAATTCAAAATAAATTGTTATTAATTATTGCAAAGGTTATGATGTACACTCTTATTATTAGGTAACTAAAAAAATTCAGTCAAAACTCCCGATATATTTTGAGAAGTGTTTACAACAAAAAAAAAATAAAAGATGGGATCGTCTTGACGATAACGATCATTTACTCATAAATAGTCTTTGTAATTATCAATATTTAAGCATTCCAAAGCAAATGCTCTCTCCTCCATTGATATCATCCTCAAAAGCATTTAGTTTGAGAAATATATCCTGGAACTCAATGGGCAATCTATTGCAATACAAGCCATAAAAGGATTTCCTGCGCATGGTAATTGCTATGTATGGACTAAATATTAAAGTCTTTGAGAAAATATTATTGAAACTAAAATCCTTTTCTCTCATCGGCCCTTAGTACAATGAAATAATTAGATGTAAATATATTGCCGATTTGGTAGCTTCAAGACGTCTGGCATAAGATTTGATGCGAAAATATAGCAACATGAAAAATTTCATGATTGACAAGGAATATATTGTATGCTCATATATTGAACATTGAATTTTATATAGCATTCAGATCAATACAGAATTCTATAGGAAAATAAGGATTATAAACAGGAGAAAGTACCTAATTTTCATACTCATACTTTAATCTAAGTGATTCTTTCATGAAAAAGGTTTAATACTCGAGCAATGACCATGATAAACTCTTAATTGTATGTTCGTGAAATTTATTGGCTCTTGAAATGTGAATTATCGTCTGCAACATGTGAATAGATTGCATAAGGCTCGTGTAAATTATAAGATTTGTTATATTTACATTTGAAATAAAATGTCTGCATTTTTGTGTGAGAGTATTCGATAGTAACAACATCATGTGTAGTATATATTTTGCAATACATTTTCAATGATGCAAGATAAAACGATGATTAATTGATGGTTGATATGAAACAATGACTTTTTCGTTTCTTTTTCAATTTTAATTTTTTGAATTTATTATTATTAAAAAGCATCAAATAGTCTAAATGTTTAGTATTTTTGTTTGAATAATCATTCAAATTTGTGATGAATATTTGAAAGGAAAAACGAAATAGTTCTAATTTTTAAATAATTGGTATATTCAATATGATATATTGGAAAAGGAAATAAACGATTAAATTAATTCTCACAAACTTTTCAGAAAGATCATGTATTTCGCTCTAATATGTAATCGAATGATATTTCGAGGAAATTGGAGCGACCATTCGAAAGCACCAGATCGGCCATCAAAAGGCTTTCGAATGACACTTCAAGAGCCAAATAATGTTTCTGGGCATATTATTCTAGAAGCATCAATATTTATCTATAATGACAGTAGCTATGCCCATCCATCACGTAATTATCATATGTACGGCATTCCTGTACAAAATAATTATTATTTCTTCTCAACTCCGAAGCTTCATTTAGAATTTGAGAAAGCAGCAAAACTCATTGTCAACGCATATTCGAATCCTGAGATCAATATCACAGAAAACAGCGAAGCGCTTGATAAATACATCAAAAAGACCTTAAATTATACTGAAAAAGCGCCGACAGTAGCATCACTTATGTTCTATAATGTTACAATGCCTAGTTCAGTAAGAACTTTTGATACCAGTTCTGGTGTCAACGGAACCATTACATATGATAAAAAGATTACATTCTCAGCAACACTAATCAACTACATCAAATTTGTCCGTGAAGGTAAAATATTCGGTGTGTTGATTGGCTTTTCAATACTTATCAATTTCATGGCATGGAAATCTTTATTCAGTAATTTTAAGTCATCTGCGTCACTTTATCACTTATCATTAGGTACATTTATCATGCACATAAGCTTTGACTTCTCTTTTGCCTTATATTTCTTTGATTTGACCTCAACGGCGTTCGAATTTGTTAATTTATTCCTATTTTTATTCATTTGCACGACAACAATGTTTATTGTTTGCATGCAACTTATAGCTCTTATCTGGAGAGCCCAAAATCCAGGAGTAGATGATGAATTAAGGCCTTCTTTTATGAATTTAATTATTGGAATTTCTTCATCTATGTTTTTATACAGCTTTTCGACATCTGTTGTTTTTCAGATGCCAATAATAACACTTACTTTCATGTACTCTTTCTTCATACCGCAAATACTTTACACCGCAAGAACACCGGGGAAGAAAAAAGGTGACGAAGTATTCAATATTTTGATAAGTTTACAAAGGCTTATTCCTCTATGGTATTCGACCATGTACAAGAACAATGTACATGAAACTCATTCCGTTGTAATAGGAATTTCTTTTACCGTCTATGTGCTGTTCCAGCTTTTAATTATGTTCTTGCAATCGAAATATGGAGGATTATTCTTTTTACCGAGTTTCGCAAAGCCAAAGATCGTTGATTACCTTAGTGAAAGACCTCCACCGCACTCGGAATGTCCTATTTGCATGTGTGAAATCTTTGATCAAGAAGAAACTGCTGTTACACCTTGCCATCACAACTTCCACAAGGGATGTCTTGCAAGATGGCTTGAAGAAGATATGGTGTGCCCGATTTGCAGGGCTCCTTTGCCACCATTAACTTAATAATATTATTGTTTGATGATTTTGATTTTTTCGTTGTTTTTATTGCTGCTCATATTATAGGTTTTTAAGGATATTATATTCTTTAGTATAATAAAGAATTTTATGTAATTTTTTTACTTAAATACAACTAACTGTTTCTTTTACTGATGTCCTTCTTCCATAATGAATATCATAGTCTCCAAAAATTGAATGAGTATCAGCTATATAGGTCAAACAAACAAAGATTTACAGGAAAATTGCTTGAATTAGAGAATGTTTAAGAAGATCAACAAGCTAAATTTGTTTTTATCAAATATTGTGGTGTGGATAGTTGAGCATATGTCATGACTCTTTAATTTTTTCAATATTGAATTGTGATATTTCTTTATTTTGGAATTTTTCATCAATATTATTAATCAACATGTTGTGACATGTTTAACAAATGCTTATTGAAATTAGAATTAAAATAATTGATTTGATTTTTTGATGCAAAATTCTTTACTTTTTTATTTCAATTTTTAATAATGCAATTTTCTTGGGATTTTCAGACAGATATAAATCGTCCATATTAATACATTTTATGAGCTAAATCGATTTCAAATGATTTTTTGTCTCAATGGCAATTTTTCAGATTAATATTTTAAATCTTTTTAACAATATCCTGAACTTTTCTCCCAATCCGGGGCTCTAATACCTTTAATCACATCTGTTCTTTTGTCTTTGAATTTAATATGCATCATGAATCGTTCTTATGCAAATTAGATAATATCAAGAGCAAAACATCACGTATCACTCGGCAATATCATATTTTTGCAATATCATGATTAAATTCTTTCCATACCCAATCCTATGATAAATTTTCCAACATTTTCGTCACTTTTTCAATGTCACAAGACGCTTCTCATAATTATGAAACACCAAGATATTACTCCCTAAATGGACTTGAAACAGTTCGCGTAATAGGCAATGATTCAAAGCATTTTCCACTTCCAGGAAAATCCCAAAGAAATAAAGATGATCCAATTACATTTACCGAAAAAGGCACAGGTAATAATCAAGATACATACATAATCAATTGGAATTCAGATCCACCACCTTACAAGGCTTAATTGTTCAAAATTTTATTTCGATTTTTTGCAAATACTTTTCAACATTTAATTTACATGCACCCAAAAGCTTCACCAACTTGTTTGTAAACACATTGTTTTATCTTTTTTAAATTATTTTTTACAGGGTTATTAATTTTCTCGGGCGCGTAAAGGGTTGGCGTCCTAAGGCGTCCTGATGTAAACTATTCAATTTTTGAGAAGTTTACACCACAATTGAATAGTTTATGGCGTCCTGAGAGGAGATTTCAATGGGTATGGCGTCCTAAAAAAATAGAAGAAAATGATTTTTTCTCGATTTTTCTAGAAATTGAATTTTTTAAAAAAGAAAAAAATCAAAACGTATACATTCAAGAAAGACCATAAATGAAGATTTTTCTATTTTTTTTCATTCTAAAACATCTTTTTTTGGATAATTTTTTTAATAAATATGTAAAAAAGATTGAAGAAAAAGTAAATTTACTTTAAGAAAATTCGTTTTACATGATGTAAGACCCATAACAACTATAAATATTCAATTATTTAAAATAAAAAAAGAAAAACAGATTAAATGTATCTCACATCAAAATCCATTGACCTAAGGATGTTAAGTTTCTGTTTTTAAAAGTTGATATTTTTTTTAATTTTAAGAAAATTTTAAAAGTAACAGCTCTCAATTTTTTTGACATTTGTAAATTCTAAATTGAATGAGAAAAATGAAATAATACTAAGCATAATACAATATTCTAGATTTAATTATAATTAGGAAAAGTTAGTTTTGAGAGTACTTTTCATAGGCATATAGAATGAAATCTTCTGAAAAATAATATCACATAAACTCATATTATTTTCTAATATATAACTATTTTATATAAAAATCAAATTCAATGATCTTAAAAGCGAAGGATAAACCTCAAAATTTACGAATATAATGAGTGGGAATATAATGCTTATCTATCATAAAACCATATGAAATATCAATTTTTGCTTTACGCCTAATTTTTGACGACAATTAGCAAAAAATGTTAAATGTTAACACTCAGTCCATTTGAATATGAAAAATAAAATTGACTTTGATTAAATGTTTTTATTTATCATGCAATTCTTCTTGCGACCAAAGATTTGAATAAAATTTCAAAAAATAAGATAGCTTAAAAAATAATATACGGTAGTGTTTACTAATAGATGAATAGTATATAAATTCTATTAAAATGGATTTGATCCAAAAAAATATATAAAATTTGATCATAAATAAAATCGTTTTAAATTACTTCTTCATTTAAATTATAACAATTATTTTTGATTTTTATTTATCATCCACATTCAAATTTGAATCTTATCACAAAAGAAGGACCACTTTTATGACTACTGCCAAATCTATAAGCAGAGAATGGCTATTTGAAGCTAAAAGAAGAATAGAAGAAGGTGAATCTTACAAAAGTGTGGGAAAGGAAGTTGAATTGGAAAATGGTAAAATTAAATTGAATGTTGCCGAAAATACAATAAGAAGAGCATTTCAACTTCAAGAAATCGAATTACCAAAAGTTAGTCGCGGCAGAAAACCAAATCCACCAACATTTGAGCAAAAACAATTAATTAATTCTTGTGTTTCACAATATAAAGGAGGAATTTCAAAAACTTATTTATTGATTAAAAGGTTTCAAAATATTGCTCAAAATCCCGATTGTGAGAAAGAAAAAGAAGAAATTGCAAAAGAATTTGAAAATATAGAAGATTTGACAAAAGATCAAATTTTTGACAATTTACAAAAAATAAAGCATCATCAAGTGGAAAAATTTATGATGGAATCAGGTTTATCTTCAAAAAGAGATTACAAACCAGCAGATCCACCTACCAAATATCGTGCCATATCAAAGAATTTGATATGGCACTGCGATATTCATTACCTTCACGGTAATGTTTCTTTTCCATTTTTTGCCATATTGGATGATATGACACGTAAAGTTCTCAAAACTAAATTATTGAAAAACAAGTCTTCCAACTCAACAGCGATGGTTTTAAGAAAACTTTTAGAGGAGTTTATTCCTTACTGCATCTGGACCGATAACGGCGGTGAAAACCGCGGTGAATTCGGCCAGGTTATGCAGGAAAACGGAATAGTTTGGAAGCACACCTTGCCGTATATGCCAAGACAGAACGGCAAGGTGGAGCGCCTGTGGCCAAGCTTAGAAAAGTTTTTGCCAGACGAGTTGGATGATATTCAACAAATCAAGGACTCAGTTCAGCAGTTCATTGAAAAATACAACAATACACCACATTTATCTCTCGATATTAATCCAAAAACGAATAGTAATTACACTCCTAACGAATTATTCGAAGTTTCAAAATTTTGGTACGAGCCAGAAATGCAAAAATGGGAGTTATATATCAAAGACGAATGGGTCTTAGCAAAATTTGAATAATTACATCATTTTAAATGACTACTAAACAATTTTATTTATAATCAAATTTTATATATTTTTTTGGATCAAATCCATTTTAATAGAATTTATATACTATTCATCTATTAGTAAACACTACCGTATATTATTTTTTAAGCTATCTTATTTTTTGAAATTTTATTCAAATCTTTGGTCGCAAGAAGAATTGCATGATAAATAAAAACATTTAATCAAAGTCAATTTTATTTTTCATATTCAAATGGACTGAGTGTTAACATTTAACATTTTTTGCTAATGGTTGAAAGTTACAAGCTCTCAATTTTCGTCCCTTTTGTACGTTTATTATAATTGTAGCATATTGTCATCAAGCACGCGACTAACCAGCAAAGACGTGTCCTCTAATTCCGTCCCTAGTTCAAGAATCTGGAACTATTTAAGCAAAAACATTCGATTTCAAAATCAAGCATTCTTTATTCAACGAGTAAAACATTAAAGTATGATTTGTCATACACGGAATAATGACAAGCTCTTAGAGTATGTTTAGTACAGAGTTACTGCCAACTTGAGTTCTTGAATTTGGTAAGTTAGAACAAAAGAAGCCATATGTCGCATCTAAGGACTTGTACTTATCAGAGTATTACTAAATGTTTAAGAATGTTAGTTATTCGTCCCAAACTCGTACGTTTCCACGCGAATCTTGATAATAAATATACTATTTTGGACTTTTTGCAATAAATCTCTTTTTACCACATTAGCATATCTGTGTGTATGCTACTTAACCTCTTTAGAGACCATTAAGATAATGTTTTTTGATACTTTTTCAAGACTATGCCATAAAGTAAACGAATAATTTACAAAATGATATTAAAAAATTTAATTTTATTATGCTTTTATAAATATTGAGACTTTTTAGGACTATTTTAAAAATGTAAATAGATCAATCATTTTAATATTAGATAAGATAATCTAAAGACGTCAGATGTTTCAATAACTTCAGATCAATGACTAATATGAAATTTAAGATTTGTGTTAATTTAAGAATTAACAATGGAATCTGGTTTAGAAAGATGGAAAGCATAGAGAATCTAAAGGATAAGAGAGATTAAATACAAAATGCTGCATAAAAAGGCAGATCAGTGAGAAGAAATCATGAGGTTAAAAAGGAACATTCAAATTAGAATATAACATTGCATATTACAATATTAATATTAAAGATAATACTGCACATCATTGTGCAGTGATCCATAAATCAATATTAATATCTCATATGATAAAATCTAATATCATATTACAATATTAATATTAAAGATAATACTGCACATCATTGTGCAATTACACTATTTTAAATATTTTCATAAATAATGACTTACAAGTTAAAAAAATGTAGAATTAACTGCATGATCCAATATTGGACCGAATGTATGTTTGAATCTATAACTGAATTCATTAATGACAAAAAAATGACTCTATAACTGAGTATCTGGCTGACAATATGCCTGAAAGTTTGAATGTGTCTAGGAATATAACTGACAGTTTGAGTGACATTTTGAATGAGGGTTTGGTTGTCAGTATAACTCAAGGTTTGAGAGAGAATATGACTCACAGTTTGACTGACAATATGACTTAGAGTTTGAGTGACAGTATGAACAGCAGTTTGGGTGATAGTATGAACTACAGTATGACTGAGAATATGACTGACGGTTTGACAGACACTTTGACTTACGGTTTTAGTTAGAATAAGACTGACAGTTTGAGTGACAATATAACTGACGGTTTGACTGACAATATGACTGTTGATTTGAGTGAGTGTATGATTGAGAGTTTGGGTGACAATATGACTCATAGTTTAAGAGAGTGTATGACTGATGGTTTTAGTGAGAATAAGACTGATAGTTTGACTGACAATATGACTGACAGTTTGACACACACTATGAATTAGCTTTTTAGTTAGGATAAGACTGATAGTTTGACTGACAATATGACTGTTGATTTGAGTGAGTGTATGACTGACCGTTTTAATGACAATATGACTGACGGTTTGAGTGACAATATGAATTACGGTTTTAGTGAGAATAAGACTGATAGTTTGGATGACAATATGACTGACGGTTTGACAGCCTCTATGACTTACGGTTTTAGTTAGAATAAGACTGACAGTTTGGGTGACAATATGACTGTTGATTTGAGTGAGTGTATGACTGACAATTTGAGTGACAATATGACTTCGGTTTGACAGACACTATGAATTAGCTTTTTAGTTAGAATATGACTGACGGTTTGACATCCTCTATGACTTACGGTTTTATTTAGAATATGACTGAGAGTTTGGGTGACAATATGACTCATAGTTTAAGAGAGTGTATGACTGATGGTTTTAGTGAGAATAAGACTGACAGTTTGGGTGACAATATGACTGTTGATTTGAGTGAGTGAATGACTGACAGTTTGAGTGACAATATGACTGACAGTTTGACACACACGATGAATTAGCTTTTTAGTTAGAATAAGACTGACAGTTTGACTGACAATAAGACTGACGGTTTGACTGACTATATGACTGACGGTTTGACTGACAATATGACTGAGAGTGTGAGCGACAATATGACTGTTGATTTGAGTGAG